TTATTTTATTTTCAGGAAATTAATATTCCTTAAAGGAAGGAAAGAATGCATAAATGAAAAGTCTTAGCATTAAGCATCTGAAAAATTCAATTGTGTAAAACCAGTTGTTTTAAGCACCTACCATGTGCCAGGCAGAGAGCTGGGTACTCAAAACAGACAAGAAGCAGCTCTGTTTCTTGAGTAGTCCATAATGCAGTGGGGACATGGTTACACTTCAGCATAATTTACTGGTAATTACTAGACCATTAATATACAGTAATGTCTCCAAGTTACTTGGAAAGTAGACACGCACACTTCTGTTAAGTAAGGAACATATACTATAGTTTTAATTATGGTTATTTTCTACATTTCTACATTGTCAGGAACATGTAGGTGAGGTCCAGTTACTACAAGGAGCTCAATGCAACTGGAGCATAAAATAAGATGGAAGCAGTGGTGACAGTGGAGAGTAAGCCCAGGGTCCATCGTGAAGGGTCTCGTGCTATGTTTAGATGCTAACATTTTGGGGCACTGTTGGAGAGTTTTGGGGCGGAAGAGCAATCGCTTTGACAATACTGTGGACAGTGAATTAGAGTAGCCAGGAAACACGGTGAGGAATGTATTTGAATAACCTGAACTCGGGATGAGGACAGTGGTAACAGAGATGGAGTGGGGTAGATGGATTGGTGAGATATAAAGGAATTATGGATGTGAGGCTAAAAGAGAGTGGGCAATGAAGTGATGAGTAAAACAGACCTCCCCTACATATTCCTGACAATGTAGACATGTAGAAAAATAACCATGATTAAAACCACAGTATGTGTTCCTTACTTAACAGAAGTGTGTGTGTCTACTTTCCAAGTATCTTGGAGGCACTACTGTAGATTAACGGTCCAGTAGTTGATTACCAGTAAAGGAATAGTGCATGTGAGGATTAAGTACTGAGTAGCTCCAGCATATCACACTCTCAGGTTCTCAAAAATAGAACCAAATGAACCAAAAAGAAGCTAACACTAGATGTATGGAAATTTTTCAAATTAAAAATGTTTTTCTCTCACACAATCCTTATAGCTATTGTACCACAGCCAACTTGAGGTGTCCTGCCAGTGTCTCACTTTTCTCTTGCATTTCCTGGCAGAGTTTAGCTGGTAGTGTCTGCTATCACAAGTGGAAGTCCTAGTGGCACAGAACATTTATACAGTGCATTAGTCTCACCAGCTCCTCCCACTGTGCAAATAGTTCCATCAATGGAAGTTTGGCACTTGGAAAACCACAAATATTTTTCGTCTGCTTACATGTCATTATACAAACATTATGGATTACTCTGTGTCACTGTAACATTAATTGAGGTTATTCTCTGTATTAATAAATGATGCATGCGCCCCCAAAAGTTCATGGTGATTAGGACATAACCGAGTTTCTAATTGAACCTGGCCAATATTGTCATGAAATGAAATACCTTAGCATTTCCATAAAGCCACTCTCAAGTGACAGCGACTCATTTTTGCAGATGAGAAAATTGCAGTAGTGACTTAGATGTATCACCTCAACCCTCCTTGTCTAATAATGTCCTCCCTGTATATGCTCTTTCCAAAATAATATGGTTCCAAATAAAACAAGCATATTCAAATGTCACATAACAAATTTATATAACCCCTTAGTCACGAAGGCAGTTCCAGAAGGAGGTAGAAGGCATCCAAAACAGAATATTGTAACTTTTATGAAGCGAGAGATGGAGAGAGGACTGGGAAACAATCCAAAAGGCTCCTACACAGCAACAGCCTCTCCTTATTGAAGTAAATTCAGTAAGATAGTAACGATTAGGTTTATTAATCGCCACAAATGCAAAACAAAAGAAGGAACACAATTCATACCTTGGCTTGATGAGTGCCAGAAAAACAGGATTAGCCTACAGTTGTTTTGCTGCAGCTTCACGCTAGTTGTGATCAGAAGAAACTTCTGAAGAGGTTGCACAAGTGGTTCTCCAGCTCCTTTTACAGATTTATAAGACCACTTGACTAATTCTCTCTCCTAACAATTCATGAGTAAAATGGTGTCTTTTAATAAGGAACTAATGAGTTGATGTCTCAGATTTATGGAATTTCCTAAATAATTTATTCATGTGAGAAATTTAAGCATGAATCTTTTTTTTTAAAGATTTTTATTGGGGTATTGGGGGGATGGGAACAGTGCTGGGGAATTGGGGGAAGGGGAACAGACAAGTTGCTGTCCTTTTGTTCTTCAGTCTAGTTGTGGAGGATGTTGCTTCACTGGCCCAAGTTGGCACCATCATTGCGCTCTTCCCGGGTGAGGCAGATCAGTCGCCGGCTTCTGGACGGCCGCTCACGGCGGCTGCTGGCTGCTCACACTGGCTGCTGGCTCCACATGGTAGCCCATGGCAACCCACTGCAGCAGGGGCTGCAGCCTGCGCTGTCTCCAGCGACTCATGGCAGCCCAGCTCCAGGTTGAGCTGTTGTTCAGCATCTTAGCTGTAGAGGACAGTGTCACTGGCCCTCATATGTGGGATCCAAACCGGGGCCCTCTGGCGTTGCAAGCCAGTTCTTAACCATCGCGCCACTCGGCCGGCCCATGAATCATTTTTAACATTAAGACCAACCTCTCTGTTCAATACAAGCTCCTGACCAACATTCATAAAACCACCATTATAGGCTACTAGGACGTTATTAGGTTGTAGAGTCTTCTTTGCTTTTTATATAATGTCAGTCTAGGCTCTTAAACATTTTAGTGAGGTCCTGAAGATAACACCATGTTTCATATTCTCAAGTAGCTTCTAGGAAGTGCCCTGTAGAACCCAAATTGAAAAGAATGTATAAATCTTTATGTTGTGTCTATGGTCCCAGTGAACTCTAACCACTCCCAAAAATCTCTCTTCCAACTTAACCCATACCTTCACCAAGTGATGTTAAAATTTGTCAAATTCAACTTTAATAATACCTAATTTAGATTTATGGACCTATAGAAGTGATGTAGAAAAAATTATAAAGCTGTACTGTCCAATATGGCTAGCCATTAACTACACATGGCTATTTAAATCAAAATTTAAATTAATTAAAAGTAAATAAAACTTAAAATTCAGTTTTTCGCTTCCACTAGCAACATTTAAAGTGCTTAGTAGCCACATGTAACTAGTGGCTACCATGTTGGACAACACAGATGTGGAAGAGCACAGAAAGTTTAATTTGACAATGTTGTCTAAGAAGGTACTGATACAGAAGGCACTTTAGTTGATAGTGACATATATTTATGTATTAAAATGCCATGTGATGGCTTCTCACAAGGAAAGACAACCAGATTGATTATAAATAGAATCTATAATTTCATTTCATTGTGCCAAAAAAGTGACTTTTAAATTTAAATCCCACTTTCTTTCCTAAAACTCCTACCCTAAATGTTTTACAAATGCAGAATTTCTAAAGGCTACATGTGCAGAATTGTATGTAGAGCTAGTTCCGGATTCCCAAAATTTCATCTTGTGCTAGTCTTCCCTTCTACACGTTTGCTCATTGGCTTCTCCACAATGTGTTGACTTAATTATCACACACACACACACACACACACACACACACACACACTTTAAACTTATGTGTAATCTGCTGACTTAGGCTGCAGCTCCTTTGTGGACAAAGGCTAATAGGTAGCCATTTTTGTGTATCATCTTGAGGTAAAGCCTTTAAGTGCTATTTGTACATCCCCATATTTTTCAACTTTGTATAAGAAAGTGATTATCATTGTTTTTAAGAATGATAAAATAAATTTTTATCCCTCGTTTTTTTCAAAAGCAGACCCTTTTGATAAATGCTGTTCTATAATGCCTGAGTCCAGGCTAAGCCAGGGAAGGGTTAGGAGGAGCCGAGAATGTCTTGTGTCAAAAAATGAAATGCTCAAAAAATGGTGGGGACATTATGTCAAAGGACACAGGAGGCAACTGAAGGGGGTTCCCACTAGCCAAATCGGGGGGGAAATTAAGTATAATAATGAAGCATAAATCACTGAAAAAATAGGAACCTATGAGTTCATACTGATGATGGATGGATGGATGGATGGATGGATGGATGGATGGATGGATGGATGAGAAAGGAAGGCCCTTCTTTATAATAGAAAGCTGACAAATATGGATGGAGTGGTGAAGCTGGAAAATCACCATTTTGCAACCATAATAATAAAGATTGGTTTTGGGCAAGAATTACCAGTGGATGCTACATATAAGAGGGACGTTTATCAAGGAATAGGATGCTTACATAGTCTTAATTGTCTTTCCACATACTGCTTCTTAATTTTAAGGAGGAAAATAACTATAAGGAAAAACCAGTGAGAGGCAGATGGGCCTCTGGACCTTGAGAGCCATTCGACATCACTTATTTCATATTTGTATGTAAGAGGGGTGCATAAACTGAATTGAATCATGAGGAAACATAAGATAAAACCAAAATGAAAAACATTCTATTGGAAAAAAAAGTGACCTGTAGTTTTAAATATCTCAATGTCTCAAAAGATGGGGGAGAGGAGGGTGGGGGAAGGCCGAGGAACTATTCCAGGTTAAAGGAAACTAAAGAGGTGACAACTTAATGCAAATCTTTGACCTAGGACTGGATCCTGGACTAAAAGTGAAAAGCAAAAAATAAAAAGGACGTAATTAGGACAATTGCCAAGATTGGAATATGAATGGGAGCTTAGATAAAGTATTGTATTGATGTTAAATTTACTAAATTTGGTAGCTATACTATGGTTATGTTAGAGAATACCTTTGTTCTTAGGAAATGCACAATGAAGTATTAAGGAGTAAAAGGGCATAATGTCTGTACTTTATTCTCAAATGGTTCAAGAAAATAATTGTGTGTGTGGAGAGAGAGAATATAATTAACAAATGTACCACATCATTAACAGTTGGTGAATTTGAGTAAAAGCTACAAAGGAGTCCTCTGTTTAAGTCTTGCAGATTTTCTGTACATTTGAAATTATTTCAAAATAAAACATTTTAAATTCCATTCAATGTTTTATAGCCCTTTTTAAGGCACAAAATGACGTGGTGACAATGAAGATACAATCAGAGAGACTTTCAAAAGAATACGACCGACTCCTACAAGAACACTCTGAGCTTCAGGTGGGTGCTGTCCACATCATTGGCCTACATTATGAAATTGTAATCACTCAAGTCAACTATTTGGGGTCTTTTGCTCTTCCCAAATCAAGAGATTGCACTTAATCCTGGCACCGTTAATTGATTAAGGAAGCCAGGATTTTACATAGAGGGAGAAGATTGGGACATTGCATGAAAATACAAGAAAATCATAACAGAGACTTATTGACATGCTAATTTATAGCATTCTAGTTTTGAAGTTTTAAGCAAAAGAATTGAGCCACAAAAATGGCAACATTGAAACACATACGGGTTTTCCTGGAAAAATTTAGTTTTCTCTTTGGAATGTTTGCCATATTCATGCCAAAAATAAAGCCAAAAATGGAAGTCCCACTTCACGCCACTCCTTCTAAGCCCCTCTTAGGACAAAGCCTATTGGGATTCCAATACATGATTTACCTCCAAAGGAAATGGAAAAAACCCCAAATAACCTTTTTGTTGTTAAAGTCACAAAATTGGATGCCATAGATTTTCTCTTTTCCCCTTCCAGCAAGAGTCAGTTCCCAACATTTATCCACGTTTGGCTTCTCGTTCCCTTTCCTCTTGGGCCACCAGCGCCTGACCTGCATTGATTGTCCTGACCACGTGTGGGGAGAACTCAAGGGAGAGACCACCCAGAGCCAGCCCTGGTCCTCCTAGTTTCTCCCAAGGCGGAGGGTCTGTGTTCTGCTTGGAGGTGGGGCTCATCCTCAGAATTTGGCAACCATGTGACTTTTGATCAGGGTGTTTTAGCAATTACAGCTCTGCAGTTATTTCACTGTCGTAGAATCCGTGGTCCCAGGACTCGTCTCCTTGCCCCTTAACGGTCCTTACATCTCCAGGGTCAAGCGCTGTGCTGGCAGGAGGCTGGGAGGCCCAGCACTGACAGGCCGTGCATTCAGACAGACAGGGAGTAACTGTAACTCTCACGCTACCTTTGTGATCCCAAGCATGTTATGTCACCCATCTGAGGCTCATGTTTCTCCACTGGTAAATTGAAGCAGTAATAGCCCCTGACTCACTGGGGTTTTGGGAGAATTAAATAGAATATGTAGGGTGCCTAACACTTCCTGGCCTGGCTTATGGTAAAAACTCAAGAAATGATAGCTGTTATGATAATTATAATTTTCATCTGTATTTAATTCCTCTGTAGAAGTTTTGCTGAAAAATAACTAATACTTGACCTGTCGTTTTGGCTTTGATTTCGAGCCCGTCAAGAAGCCATCCCAAGCACATTTGTAATGCGGTGTTCCCGGTGGAGTTGCCTGTTCAGTTTAACCTACTCTGACCACAGGGAAGCTCAGAGAAGGGTAGATACACTGTGGTTTCAAACCCAGGACACTTAAGAGCTCGGTTCCCATCGTCTGGAGTAGGCAGTTAGATTTTCAGCAAGACCACCCATTCCCTATGCCTAAAACAGAGGTCCTGAAATGGCTGACCTCACCATGGCATCCTTGAAGATGCACCATGGTGAGGGAGGAAATGCTCAGAAGCCTCTCGCCTAGAAATAGAACTGCCGCCCAGCCTCCCTCCCCATTTGTGAGGTCAGGATGCACTCAACAAGGGGGCTTTGCCAGGTGTTAGAAATGTTAAAATCCCTCAATGAAGAAAAGAGAAGCAGCAATATCTCCTTCGTTTCTGATGACCAGTGGCCATTGCTGAATGTTCCTTTTGTGATAACAGCTAATGTTTCTCTTAATCCCTGGAGAATGTAGGTGACAGTGAGATTCCGTCAACCTGTTTTCTTTCCCAAAAAAGCCTTCAGCTTGGAGCTTATGCATTCTTGAGAAAAGATGTTAAAAAGCTTTTATGAGTAATTTCTTCCCAAGAAAGTAGTTGTTATACCTGTTTCTTTAAAAAATGACCCCATCCCAGATACGCCAAGTGCCATGCTGAAAGTGAGGCCTGTTTAGATCTTGATCTCATTTCTGTTTTTGTATCCAGGGTTTTGAAATGTGTAATGGATGATATTTATTGAGGGTAAGGTTTGAACCAAGCACTTAGCTAATGGCTTCATATATGTTATCCTGTTTGCTCCCATCACAGCCCATTAAAATATTTTTTTTTAAAGATTTTATGGGGGAATTGGGGAAGGGGAACAGACAAGTTGCTGTCCTTTTGTTCTTCAGTCTAGTTGTGGAGGACGTCGCTTCACTGGCTCATGTTGGTATTATCATTGCGCTCTTCCTGGCTGAGGCAATTATTCGCCAGCCATTGGACGGCCGCTCACAGCGGCTTGCCACTATTCATGCTGGCTGCTGGCAACACACAGTAGCTCACGGCAGCCCACTGCAGCCCCTGGTGCAGCCTACGCCGTCGCCGGCAACTCACGGCAGCCCAGCTCCAGGTCAAGCTGTTGTTCACCATCTCAGCTGTAGAGGGCGCAGCATCACTGGCCCCCATGTGGGATCCAAACTGGCGGCCCTGCTGCTCAGAGCTGGCATCCCAAGCCAACTCCTAACCAATGCACCACTCAGCCGGCCCTAAAATATTTTAATACCCTATTTTGTATGAGGAAAATGAGACCCAGAGATGTTATATACTGTACCCAAAGTCACTGAACTAGAAAGCATTCAAAGTTGGATTCAAAATTGGTAAATCTTTCTTGGGAACCTCCATTATTAACCACTGTGGCCTTTGGCCTGTTCTGGTCATTGGAACATGAGTTCTGGGACCATTGTCTTCCCACTGTCCCTCTCCTCCATTTCAGGGAGCTACGTTTCCCAGGCTCCCTTGCTGTCTGGTTTCAGGGTGGGTTCAGCCAGTGGGCAGCACTAGTAGAAGACTGAAGGCAGGAAGAGCGGGAAAGCCAGGGATTTTTACAGCAGCAGGTCCATCTCTTCTTCCCAATAAACCAATCACCTATGAAGCCACTTCCCTGTAATAAATACCTGTCGGAAATAAGAAAACCTCTCAGCTCCGTAGTTTACCACTTCTATAAACCTCAGGCAAATCACTTGACAGCCAAGCCCTTGGCTTCTTCAGTACTTAAGTGAAGGTTGTAATACCTTATGAGCATTAAACCAGGTCCTGTGCAAGAAAGCATTTTCGATATTTTTAAACAAGGAAAGCTCTATATAGCCATAAGATGCTAGTAGTTGTTTGTTGATTGGACACATTTTCTCCATCCACCTACTCACCTTACCCCCATTGTCCATTATGAGAACATGTATAAATTCTGAGATTTAGGTGTCATTAACTGAGAACCATTTTCTTAAAAGTGACTCCTTTGTTTTGATATTCACCTTCTGAACCCTACTTGAGAAGCAAAAGATAGCTGTAGACCATCTACTGTAAAAAGCTACATGAAATTGTCCTTCATGAATTCTACTTCTGTTATCAAACCAACCTTAATAGAATTATATCCTAAAGTTCTTTGGGAAACAGCTTTCTCAATTTTACATGGCTGATTTACTTTTTTTTTTTTTTTTTTTTTTTTAGGGGAATTGGGGGAATGGGAACAGTGTTGGGGAATT